TCACGTTTCCAGCTTCAATAAAACCTAATGACTCTACGACTTTACATCTCAACAGTAACTAAATTTTGTTGAGCCTTAGTTAATGTAATGAACGTGTGTGACTTATATCTCCCAGCAACCAGGAAAAGGTTAAGGATGTAGCGCTGCGTGCGATACCCCATTGGAATACCAGCCCACACCACGATGCTGCCAACTTTGAATGGATGATATTCAATATGATGTTCTCAGCCTAATCCCTAGCGCTTCATTCTCCCCATATCCTTACACGCTTCTCATCTGATTCGACAGCAAATCTGGACTCGTCCATAAACAGGTCTTTGAGACAGTCACAGATCTCGAAGACGTTCATTTTAATCTTGCCCCTCTGGATTTGCGGTTAGTGGAAAAAACATTTGGTACTCAGCATAATCCCTTCATATGAAGCCTTCAAGCACTGTGCTGGCAGACACTTTCTTATTAAGTGACGCATTATCTTATTAAGTGCTGCAACCATTGATGTAACAATTGAGGAGGTCGTAATTCAATCCACTTGATAACTATAGAAATATACTGATCTTCAAAAGGGGCAGTAACCCTTGGTCAACCGGGCACAAGTCTCCAGACAGTTGCTTGACTTGATCGAAATTATTTACACGTTCGAGAATTTGCCGATTTGAACGGTTATCCAACTTTAAATTGTCCGATGTCAGGGCTACCTATTTGCCATTAGTCTTCTGTCAGCAAGCAGAAATACGAATATCATCACAAATTATCTTACGAAAGTTATAAACACCATATCAGTATTTAAATGAACCTCCTGAAACTCTTCAGGATGCTGGCGTCTTCAACAACTGCCTAATTAGAATTTGTTCAGATAGCAATCGTCACTGGGTATAGTATGCGCGATTTTCAACCACTCAAATTCAACTACGCTTTCGAAAGTTGCTAATTTTGGAAACCAACATATAAATAATACTGATATTTGGTATATTTTGGATTAATTATGCTTATGCTACATAATATTTGTCTTCAGAAAAGGTCAAAATAGAAGGAACAATTTCTAAGACTACCACTCTCACATACAGGATTACATAAAGGATTCTATTATTTAGTGGAAATGGTCATGTTTGAAAGGCAATGTTAAATCCCAATGTGTATTTATGTTATCAGAAATACTGATTACTCTTAGAAGTAGTCTTTTAGATAAGTGGCCATCAAAAGAGGGTTCAATGCATGATTAACAAGTTCAGACACTCTTAAATGATTCACTTTGTTAAACCAACAGGCAGAAAATAGCACCCTCATATCTGCTGGTAGCATATTCCAAAGCCTGCTGCATTTACATGAAACTGCAGTTAACATTAATGGTATGCATAATACTCATGAAATATACATAAATATTGTAAGCCTTCCAGTTCAGCTTCAGTTTTTATTCCAAAAATAAGGAAATGGACATTGTAGTAGAAAGAAAGCTATTTCGGCAACAGCAGTTTCTCTTTTTCAATTCTTTCAATTTTTTAGCATGTGCATCATTTGGCATTTTGCCGAGAGTGTCACAAATTTTACTTTGGATTAACCCTCTAAATGGCTATGGGTTTGGCCCTGGACACCTAAAGTCCTTAAAAAGGACAAGAGTAATTTGCGTTTTCTTAATTCTAAAATGGCCCTTTCAATTTGTACCTTGACTCCTTTTCTTGCAATATATATGTACTATTGTAATTATCTGGATATGTTAAGATGCATATCTGTGTACTTAAAGAAATCATAACTAATATTTTGTTGTGTTGTGACTAATCTTGCTTGTCTGATATCAGAACAAGCCCATAAAATTCACCTGGTAAGGAGGCAATATTGCACCTGTTGTTGGCAAGACTCTGGGGCACTGTACAGGTGATAGTATGGCTTTGCTCAGTTTCACTCCCAGTTTTGAAGGGCAGCACCCAAGGGGAATTGGTCCAACGGTCTCCCACCCTCTTCCCCTATCACCAACTTCTTGAGAGGACATTTGGCTCGCCGCATAATCAGAGTGGCCCCATGCCACACAGACATTATACAATTACAAACATCCATGCCTTCTCTGGGATTCAAACCCATACCCTTCAGTATGGCAATTAAAGTCAGTAACCACTACCCCGGGTTGGTGGCACTAATATTTTTGAACATATATATATTGTTGGGCAATTTAGAGGGCTAAAAATTATTTCTCTCAGCTGTGCTCATATTTTATGAGTAAAATACAATTTCTCACTTCCACTACATAATCAAAGATGTCCACAGACAAAAAGAACTACATTTTCTGCTCTTTCACTGTCAGTTTTGCTAAGCAATACTATGGGAGAAATTAAAGATAATATGTATGAGACTAACAACAGCAATATTAATGGTGAACTGAAAAACAATCATATATTCAAGTGACCTGCCTTAATGAGATTTCCGAAAATCACTAGCAAATTTTAAGTCAATACTAAGAAATCTGATTAATGCACACTAAGATTAAATATAATTTTAAGAAATAGTTTTCAATTATTTATGTCATTTTTGTGATCAGATTTTTTCCACTAAGTCAATTTGAGCTCTTAATATCCTCCAAATTTAAACACGCTTGTTAAAATTTCTTGGTATATAAATGAAAATATACAATGCTAGCTTAACAAAAAAAAAAAAAAAAAACCGGTTGCTTCACTAACCAAACTTGCATCTGAAGACTAAACTGTATTTTTATACTAAGGAAGGTAAATGAAAAATTTTATGTTGTGTAGATTGGCAACAGTTCTTTGAGAAAAACAGATTTCTCTGTAACTTGAAAACAATAAGTATAATCTATTTAAATAGCTCGGAATGTTCAATCATATAGCCAGAATATCATATTCAGTAGAAATCAAGAGTATTTAACTTCAATAAATCAAAGTTTCCAGTACAATAAATTGAGTGACAAAACGCAGAATTTAAAGTTAAATAAATTGAGTGACAAAACGCAGAATTTAAAGTTAAATAAATTGAGTGACAAAACGCAGAATTTAAAGTTAATGCTAACTTATCTCAGTAAATAAAATTTTTAAATAGCTGAAATTTTTTGGAAATAATAGCTGAAATTATCAGTTTCAAATATATGAAGTTATTATACACTCATGCCCAAAATTATCTTTGCATATATAAAATCAGGGATTTCTCAGAAAGTGAACTATAATTTTATGAATTAGTGTGGAATGATACATAAAATCATAAACATATAAATACAGAGAAAAACATTAAGAGCACTGCATATGATATAAAACTGTAGCATGAAATAATAAAAATGGTAATAATATGTTACAAGCAGAGTTCATGAAAAGGGGGGAAAGAACTCAGGGGGGAAATTAAGGTTTGTGAACTAAGTACGGAATGTGATCTCACTTGACTTCAAACACATCCCAATGTGTTTTCATGCTGGCAACAATGTTCTTATCCACAGTTTAAAAAATTAAATAGCATTCCTCCAGAATATGGTCTTTAGGGCATTTACATATCTACGAGGAGGATGTCTCTGTGCAACTACTCTTTCAAGATACTCCCATAAGTTGTCAATCAGGTTAAGATCAGGAGATTTTGCTCAATGTGGATGAACTTTATTGTTCATAAATAAAGGTTCAGATTCAATATGCACCTCTGAAGTCTTACATAAGGTTCTAAGAGCTCATCTCAATATCTGCAGGCACTCACGTATCCACTATTAATAGTGTAGATGACTGTACACCCATATATCATTATTCCTCCTCATAGCAGCATACCTGCATTACTGAAATGGTCATGCTCCTTAATGTTTGAAGGAAAATTTTGTATTCTTTACTACCTTCAGTTATAAACACATTTGGAATCAGATATTAAAATCAACCTCGACTCATCATTACAGAAAACATGAGACCACTGGTGGTTACTCCAATTCTGATGCTCTCTGCATCAATTTAAGTAAAGTTTCTTTTGTTGTGAACAATGAAACAAATACCCTTGGCTTTCTGGCATAAAGGCTTTTCCACTAAGCATTTGTTGTACAATTTCCTGTGATACAACAGGCTTCAGTGATGACTGCAAACTCTGAACTTAATTTCCAAGCGATAGATTTCCTGTTATGATTGGCAGTTACTGCCAGATATCAATTTTAAGAAGTTATTATTTGTTTATGAACTTGTCCAGCCTTCCTTATAACAATTCCAGAATAACGAAATTGTTTCCATAGCAGAGAAACTGTCAGTCTTGAAATATTCACACATTTCACTACTTCCACGATTATCTACGCTACTTCTTAATGGCCAATAATTTACCACTTCACAGATTCATCCAAATGAAAATGTTTTGAGTCCTTACTCACTGAAATCAAATGCTGTATTCCAGAAATTCATTCAGATATTCACTTTGTGCAAAGAACTTGATTTACTGTCAGGTGCAAGTCACAAAACCATCTGATCACTTTTGATTGGATATTGCTATTCAGGCTTGTCTTTCACACATTCACTACAAAAATGGATTACATTAATTGGGTATTTCATGGAATATCATTGTTTTAGTGTATGCAAAGATAAATTTGGTCATGAGTGTATTATGGCAAAACATAGTAGGGCTATCTATCAAAGGGAAGAGATGTTTTCATAGAGAACTTTCTGGGGAAAACTAGCTGACATTTACCATTTCAGCTTCAGTTTACAGAAGTTCTGCTGAATAGAACACACAAATTATATATTTCTTCTGAATAAATGTAACAGAAGCAGCAGTAGGTCATTCACTCTTCATTATAATTCAATTTTTTTCACCAGCTTATTTATATAACTATTGCCTAGTCACTGATTTTGAATGATATTACTTCTGTGATAGTCTTTCAATAATACCATGATTAATTATTTCCAAATTTCTGTTATAGCATATGCATATTTCCATAGCAAGAGTTATGTGAGATAAAATTCAAAATAATTATATGTTTTCTATTTATTATAATATGATATATCCTTCACTTACTAATATAAAGTGGGAGTCACAAAATGAAACACAAATCACAAAAAATACCAATTTTATCAATGATAAAATAAAGAAATACATACATAAGGACTAAGGAATGTATGCTACTTTGAAAACAAATTACATGGCATTAAAATTTGGCTTAAGAATTAACAATCTTATATATTACATATTTAAATTCAGATCTTTACGAAAGCATCTTAAGATCAAATATAAATATATTCTTGATTATACAAAGAATATCTTTGTAAAGCACATACATAAATACTTAATTATATCTTGGACTCGCATAATATTATGCACCATCACACAGACTATAGAGCCACAGAAAATGTTCATTTTCAGCAGCAATCTTATCACCAGTACAATCAATTACTTCTTAGTTTTCAATATCAATTACTTCTTAGTTTTCAATTTCATACATATAAATTTATAGCAAGACAAAGCTCATTTGTCTGATAATGAAAGCAAGGATGTTGTAGCTTGTTCTTTATTACCACCACTGCTTTCCAATACACCCATAATCACTTCTTTATCATATGCAGGAAACATTTCTTGCATCTGAAAAATATATCAGAATTGTACAAGTTGGAAAGTATCTAATATATGCATACTTGCCAATTTCATGAGATTCAACTTCCTGCAAAGATTTTTTTAAACCATTCATAAAAAAAGTATAAAGCTACTTTTACAGGAAAAACTAACAAAATTTTAATATTCTGAGATAATTACATCAGGGGAAATATCATACATATGTATTGGCAACAAGCAATGTCCACCATTTCTGTATGTTTTTCAATTGTTGTATTCTATAGTTTGTTATGTTGTATTCTAAGTTCCAAGGTTTACATAGATAAATCATAGTTTTGCTTTAAACTCAATTTTAAAACATGTGCTTACAAGATCTACTGCAGTGGAAGAAACTGTGAAACAATCACCGCAAAATTTCCATCAAAACAAACGGAAAAAACACCTGTAACTGAACTACATATTGACTGTCTGGATAAACATATAATTAAAGCATACACTACATATATCCATAGTAAACAAACTTTTGCAACTATAAAACTTCATTCTATTTCTTTTGCAAAAAAAATCATCGGACTATGCCAAGATAGTCATGCTATTTTATAAGTAAGAAAAACATTTATCATATAAAATGGGGGGGATTTAACATATTTATAGTAATTCTTTTTTTAAACTAATGAGTAATTTGGAAAAAGCATTACATTACATTTATTATCTTGTTTAGATTTCAGAATCAAAGTATTCAGAAAGATAAAATCCCTTTAAAAATACAACAGAAGAAAGTTGAAATGTTTTTAAATAAACATTAACAATTATCTTAAACTTCTTTACTAAAAAAGGTAATTTTAATATTAAATATTTCAATGATATCTGATAACATTATTATATCCATTAAAGAAATCTTTAAAAAAATTCACAAATTCATGCTCTAAAAATGTTTATACACTAAAAAAGGGAAAATTTATTTTTGATATAATACAGAGCATAAGTCAAACAATAACTGGTTTTCTAACAAGAGTAAGTGCACTGTTACCAGAACTGTGCAAACAATACATACTGGATGATTAATATCAAAATGACTCCGAAAAATTAATTTAATACAGTAAATTTTGCAGATAAGATTGTAAAGCTAGAAATGCTTTCATAAAACTTACAAAGATTCATAAAAGTAGACAGATACGTATGTCTAATCAATTCTAGCACTTTTATAGAAATACACACTCTACACATACATAAAAATATTTAAGGTTACATAGCATATAATAAATTAATCTGCACCAAGATTCGCAGTACAAGGCATAAGGAATATCTTACTGATTATACTGATACTGCAAATGCTTATCTACTAAATATACTATAAATTGCATCAATGAAATGCATTAAAATTAATTCATTTATACACTATTACCAGAACTGTGCACACAATTAAGAATTGCATTCATTACTTTTAAATCACTACGTCTATCAAACAATTACAGTTATAATATAAAAATTAAATTTAAGACATTAATGCCATGGTGACCAGCCACACGAATGGTGACCTATACGAAAAAAAAAATTTTCTTTTTTAACAATCCCCATATAATAAAGGAGCCAATAAATGCCAGTTTAATGATACTTCTCATCTGAGGTCAAGATGAACATGAAAACTTCTAATGAAATAGGTTCCATGTCATTTTGAGGTCATAACTAACAATTTAAGTTTCATTACTAGAACTGGCCTTATAAAAAAATTCTAAATCAAAAGTTTTAGCAAATTTTTTGATGATTTTCATGTGATGCCTAAACCTACCATTTTAATGTTTATTGTATAAACTTAGCTTCAATCTGATAAAAATTGCTAATATATTAAAAAGCCCTATAAGCTTACAGGTATGTCACTATTTTGCACGATAATTCACTCCACAACAATAAAACGTTGAAAGAGCACTAGAATCTTCATCTTCAATATGTCTGAAAACACCATTATATGAAACCATAATATGAAAAATTTGACTTTCCATTTATGAACAATTTTACCATTTATGAAAAAAATTTAATGTATACAACAGCAATTTGTTCATGTCTGTTTCACGCAAAATAAAAGACACCTGACAATCTGGCGAATAGTGTTGCTAGCTACCATATGGTTCAAAGTTAAAATCTGGAAAAAGCATATATATTGTTGTGTTATTTTCTGACACCATTGTTACATTATTTTCTTCCTTCGCATTCGTACGGGGTTCGTAGATTTGGAGCGAATAACGACGACACGTGATGAAATATCAAAACACTCTTCATTTAGCCAGTATTAATCAGGACAGCTCCAAAGTCAGGTTTTACAGTCGTCGAAGATCTACTGTAAACACACTGACACGATCAGCGACACAGCCTTCGGTTATCAGGCTATCACGGTGAAGACAGCTTCACTGCAAAGCACCAGAATACAGCTCCCAACTCTGCTCGGTCGTTCTCGAAACTCCATGTACTCTCGAGACTCTTCACGCTACAACTTGCGATGCACTCAACGACACATAGAGCACAGCTCCTGACTTTTCAGTTCAGTCGTTCCCGAAGCTTAATACCCTTTCTCAATGATGCACTAACCGCGATACACTAAGAGAGACTCTTCAATAACCTCGACAACCCGCTCGGCACTCGCCCGGCTGTCAACTCGATCGACTCTGCACGGACTGACTAACTATCTCGCGCTCTGACTCTCCACGCACCAGCAGGGTTTATATAGTTTTCGGCTTGTGTTCACGACCATTCTTGGCTAAACCAGTAAGAATTTGTTCCAGAAGGTTCTCCATCCGTCCATGGCATATCTCCAAATGTCAGCAAATGGGCAATTTCTTGGCAAATGTAGCAACCCTGCCTTCCCTTGCCATTTTATGGTAACCCTTAAACTGCTTTGTGGAGAAGCTATCTTACTGCGCCTGGACATTTCTTAACAATATGTTTGTGAATGTATAAATTCTAATACTGTCAGGCCAAAAGTCCTCTTCAGTGGTTGGCAATAAGGAAAGAGCAATGGAAGATTCTTGGATCAAACTCTAGAGTTCTCTCCATCAAACAAACTGAAAACTGGACTAATTTCTACTGTTGCATATAAGGTGCTCAAAGCTTGACCAGCAAACATGTACCATGCTCTCCCTCTTGACTACAATAAATTCATGAACTCGATATGGATTATATGTATAGATCAGGAGTATTGGTTGCAACAAAAGATACAATAAAGTCAAAAAACAAATTCCTGTGTTAAAAAAATTGAAAAAAAAAAGCCCTAACCTCAAATTATAATTGAGTATTAATTAATAAATTTTTAACGCCTTGAAAGGATCATGCATTAGTTTAAAAGAAAAAACTGTACTGGTATTTAAAGTGTTAATGACTATAATGAAATTTATAGCTCATTAGATATCTAGGGAAAATTTACATTCACGTAATCTCCTCTACATTCCACAATTTCCATTAATGGACTATATTAGAATGCATTACATCTGTTCAAAAGTCTTTGAAAATAAATTTTTAACGCCTTGAAAGGATCATGCATTAGTTTAAAAGAAAAAACTGTACTGGTATTTAAAGTGTTAATGACAAATTAAGTGACTTGCAGGAACTTCACAAACTTCTACAAGTAGAAACATTTAATTTTTTTAATGAATTTTTCATTAAAAGTTTTTTTTTCACTCACCTAAATATTAAATTAGATGGTTTTAACAGAACCACTTAATTTTCATCCAATGCACAACATGACTATAATTAGAAGAGGAACATCCCAAAGTGAAAGTTAAAATTAGTAAAGAAACAACCTTGTATTTGGCATAGATTTAGACCAAAAAACTCAATTTTGAGGGCAAACAGGTCCCTCTTCATCAGAAGCAACGAAATTTGCAAGACTGGAAAGCAGCAGACATAACGGTCCTATTTATACCCTACCGCAGTAAAGTGAAAAGGAAGGTAGTGCCATATGATTACCTTTCAGACATAAGATTCATATTCTTTGATATGAAACTTATCAAGTTTTGTATCAAGGAATTCACGAGCCTGATATGGATTACGTTCAGATCAGGAGTATTGGTAATAATAATAGATATAACAAAGTAAAAGAACATGCAAAACCTATCAAGTTTGTAACTTATCAAGTGTATATAAAGTAGTAACATTATATGCAAACTTATCAATTGAAGTTTGATGACAAGGATAAATCTTATGCCCAAAAAGGCATAATTAACAACTTTTCGATAGCTAATCATAGCTGGGAATTTAGTCATAAGTCTGCAAAAATTATCCTGAAAGGTTTCTTTCATTGATGAATTAGCTTTTCTTGAAGCTTTTCACATTCACAAAGATTTAGCTTGTTTAATTAATGACGTTAAGTCAAATTCAGTCCTTTCTAATGATTTTAAAACTCTATGAATTTAATTTTTCAATTTTTGTTACTAATCTTGTCAACAGATGTCACTACCTTCTTGTTCACTTTACTGCAGTAGGGTATAAATAGGAAGGACCCTTACACACACTGCTTTCCAGTCTTGCAAATGTCTTTGCTTCTGATGAAGAAGGACCCGTTTGCCCTTGAAATGGATTGAATTTTTTTGTCTAAATCTACATAAAATACAAGATTGTTTCTTTATTAGTTTTAAATATGATTATAATTTTCAAAAACTATCACAGGTCAAACTGTAAAACATTATGCATAGAATTTAAAATGACAATTCTAACATTTCAACAATATTCTTTTGAAAAGCTATCAAGTTGCAAGCACATACAGAAAAACAGTACACAGTTTTATATCAAAACACAATGACATGACTTAAATTTTTTATAAACTTTATCTTTATTAAGTCCAAACAAGCTGTTATTCTTTAACAATATACTAAATTTTTATTTCCAATCATTTTATTACTAGTTTAAAAACTAGCTTAAAATATGCTAAAAAGAAAAAATGCTCAAGTTTAATCATTTTCTCTATGTAAATTAAACCAAAGTTTCACAACAGCCTACTTCCATCTTTTAATAGTTACTGCTATATATTTATTGAATACATAGAAAAGTTATTCCTGCATATTAAGTTATTCATTACTATCATTATAGCACTACTATGCATAAAAACAAATATGCAACGATACTGAAATTACAGTGCTGATGTAAATGACTGCTTGAAATATCAAGCTAAAAGACAAAATTGACAAAAAACACGGGAAAATTTACATATCAAATCTTCTCACTACTCTGAAATAAAACAGCAGGAGTGGGTCATCATTTAATTAATTAATCATACGAAATTTATAGCTCATTAGATATCTAGGGAAAATTTACATTCACGTAATCTCCTCTACATTCCACAATTTCCATTAATGGACTATATTAGAATGCATTACATCTGTTCAAAAGTCTTTGAAAATAAATTTTTAATGCCTTGAATTCTATTGCTTTCAGTAAGTAAACTTAATATACTAATTAAAAAAAAGAGTAATTGAGGAAAATAGTTTCTGCAAGCCTTGAAGGCAAGTTATCCAGTGAAATAAATATACAGCTGCATCTTCAATATTATTTTTTCCCGAAGTGCACAAGTTTCCATTTGGTATTAATTTACAATGATTCAAATTTCATAAAGTATATATAGTATCCATACACCATTAACTACTTTCTGCCATTTGGTATTACTATTTCTAAGAGCTTATTTTATATGTATGATTTTATGTTCTGAATGCTACTTCTAATTATTTAGCTCAAAACCATTTTAGGCACAAGTGGAATCTGCACACAAAGTTTTGAATGCAAATTTAAAAAATATAAAATTCAAAATTTTATAAAACTTTTTAACTGCAATTCTTATAAGCTTACGATTTCTTTTTTTTAACTTGAAATAATTGAAAATTTTCAATTATAATGGTAAATTCTATAGGTTGTTTGTTAGATTGCAATCTGAAATTTCTGATGCCTTTTTTTTTGTCTTATTATCATCATTTCATAACAAGGAGGGGGAAAAACAGTTCCCCCCTGAATAAAAAATCAACATCATATTGTCTTAAAACTATGGGTCAGCAAATGACAGGAATAAAATTTTAAAAGTAATAAATATAATTTAAGCCATTGAGTTACTTTTAGACAGTGTAAAACAAAAACATTAATTTTTTTATTATTGATTGTAATGATGCATTTTTTTCCCAAAAACTATATACCAATTGCATTTTATTTTGTGTATTTAAATCTATAATATAATGTTTCAAAAACGTTTGTCATCCATCATTTCTATTTCTCTTCAGTGTAGAACAGGGGTTCTCAACCGGTGGTACACAAGAGAAAATAGGTAGTATGCAAAGAAGGAAAGTACTTTTAAATGTTAAATTCAAAAATTAAAACCCCAACATCCTGATTGAGCTTTTTCTCTAACACTTGTAAATTTATGCGATCTGAGCTTTGTTTAAGGGTGGTGATGGTAGTAGTACTTTGTAGTGGTGGTACTAAAGGTTTTCAATTTTGTTTAGATAGTACGCATTATTTAAAAGATTGAGAACTGCTGGTGTAGAAGATATTTCATTTTCCGTATTATACAAAGTATTTACGAAACACCCTAATGATTTATTATTATTTCATTGAAAGTTACCAACCACAAGAAAAAAACTCACTTTGTTTTGTTTTATGATTGTAGTTTACCGCAAGTTTTGTAAAACCCACTTCTATTATTTTAAATTAGTTCTTGTACTACTTTTATAACTTAAATCAGATATTTTTTTCCTTCATTTCCTTGCATACACTGGAATAAATAGAAGAAACTAAAGAATTCTTCTTGATTTTATTATAAATATAAATGAATTAAATTACAGACGTGCAATCAAATGGTTTATCCGTTTACTAATCAAATATATCACTAATCATAATACCATAAGCTTTATATGTGATGACAACTCAGTAGCAGAGATTGGCTGAGCAACTTATCATTAATTTACCAATTAAGGGTTTTCAATAGTAACAATATTACTCACCAATAAGAGAGCAAGTCTAGTGGTTGAGTTTTGATGAAAAACATACACTAAAATATAAAATTTAAAATTTCGTTCCTGTTTCTAATTTTATACTTTTAAAACCTAAAAAACTGGAAAATATTTAAATTTAACATATATTAGAGAAAGATTTGGAGATCCTTCTAAAAGCGAAGCCCTTGTATAAATCAAGCCTTGAAAATGGCTAACTAATTAAAGGAGGGATATCTTTATATTTCATTTCACATAATTACAAGTCTAATTAAAAAACTGCATTGTACACATTTATAATTTAAAAAGACTATAATATTTTCTTTGTCACAATTGAAAATACTACAAGTAACATACCTGTTTTACATCTTCTTCTGTGGGTCGATATGGCTGTTGTTGAGTGGCAGGATAAGGATACTGAGGATTATGCATTGGTTGGGGAATAATAGGATATCCCAGTGGCTGAGCTGTATAAAAAAGAAATTGTAATTCTACATTTATTTCTCCAAAATTGTCTAGTTTCTTAACTAAAAAACAATCAGAAAACTAGCAGTTAACTTACCAGGCATATAATATGGCATAGGTGCAATACCAGTTTGAGGTATTACCATTAAAGGTGCAGCCGCAGGCATCACAGTTGGCCAATAAGGAACAGGCTAAGAAACAAAAGATTTGCTTCTTAAATCCTCAGAAAAGTAACAGTTAAAAAATTTCACAAAAATGAGAATGAAGTAATCAATAAAGCAGAAAAAAGAATGTACATTTATACGTTGATTTCCAAAAGAACCTGATGCTTAAATAGCATAAGATTTCATTCATTAGTGACATAAAGTCACTGACTATTTTTTTTTTTTGCAAATCGATATGACCCTACAATTTTACTTACTAACTTACTAGAAGAAAGCAAAATAGAAAATAAAATTCACAGAACATCCATTCATATTCTTTAGAGTCTCTCATACTTGTTAGTAGTACTTCGTGCACACACAGTGAACACTCTAGAGCCAAACACCTCCCTAAGAAAATCACTACTGAAGATGAACAGTACTTCTAAAAGCATAAATAACAATACTGAACATTATTTCTCTAAGTTGACCATATCTACAGAAGACTAAAATTATCTAAAGCTATGGAGAGTTACCACAGAGAAGGTTCATAATATAAGTATTTGAAAATACTACAAACTTTTAAACTACCAGTGTTCAACGATTTTACCGCTTGGCCACTGGTATGCTACAAACCAATAACAGAAGTAATAATGACGCATTAAAGAATATAAAGTATAGAATTTCATTTAATTAAAAACCAATTCTGAAAAATCCTTTCATGGCCAAACCAATAAGAGAAGTAATAATAATGATGCAATAAAGAACATAAATTCAGAAATCCATTTAATTAAATTATACAAATTCTGAAATCTTGCCATGTACAATTTGACACAGTTTCAGGCTGAAATATATTCATTTCAAAGCATAAACTTCAAAATGAGAAGAGAATGAATACTTGCGTATTCTGATGACCAAACAATAAAATTTAAAATGCAACTAAACTTTATGCTAAATAATGCAACTAAACATTATATATATATATATATATATATATATATTTTAAAGTGCTACAAACACACACTTCTGCAACTTTCATTATATTTTTTCTTTCCTAACCACACAAAAAGTTATAGACATCAAATTATCCAAAGCATAAATCAGTAAAGCAGAATAACATAAATCCTACAGCAAAGTAAATTTTATTAAATTAGTGCAAAAGTTGAGTTGTCATGAAGTTTTTGTATTAGTTTCAATTACTGTTATTTCTGGCTGTGGTATATAAACCAAGGGAGTTACAGCTTAATATGATTTAAACACATATCCTTTCCAAAATAATGAAATACTCTGAATTTTAAAAACAGTCACTGCATTACACATATTTTGCCTTTTCATGCAAACCTGTAGGCAGCACAATCATAATTGCACTTAAGTATACTAGCTACTTAAACATTCAAAAACTAAGAAAATATTTTTTTTTTCAAATTTCTCATAAAAATATGACAGAATTTAATGTAATTTGATGTGGATACAGAGACAATAAAACTATAATTTACCCCATAGAGTAGAGAAAGTATCCTCTCAAAATTATGAGCAATGCTCATAAAAGAGGGAATGTCCCAAAATTGATATTCTGAGATAATGCTTAAAATCTAGCTAACAACGAGGTTATGATCAGACACGGCATATAACTAATCGTCATACTCTTAAAGAGACAGGTGACAAATCCCTGTGGTATCTACACCCACTCCACCCAAGCAATTATTGGACTTTTTAAACGATTCTCAAATATTGCTGGTGAATAACAGTTGCTTTCCCAAGTGTATTCCAAAGATCTGACTGGTTAACGGGTTAATGTACAAGGTATGTTCTGCTTCTGTCCAGAATATATGGTTTCTTATTAAAATTACAGTTAAAAACAGTCTAAAGAATGACCTTTAACAAGTACGAAAGCCTATTTTTGCCAGTATGTCATAGTAAAGACAACTTTCAGGCAATATAAAATACTTAAAAGTAACAAAGTAAAAATATTTAACACCCTAAGATTACTTCAGAAAATAAACATAACACAGAAATTGTTTTAATATTTTATCTGATATTTTAATACTGGTAGTGATGTAGCATGCAATCTACTACTTTTAGTTAATTATTTCTTACATTAGCACCATGAAAATAAATACAAATAATTAAGAATACATAAATAAAATTGATTCCATTAATTAATTTAATAACCAAGTAAATCTTCAATTCCATTAACCCCTTCACTTATGACTTAATTTTTCTGAAGTCATATCTCCAAAATGGATTTTTAAATTGGTTAGGTTGGGAAATGGATTGGCATTTTGAGCAGTAGAGCAAAGCCTAGAACTCCAGGCATGTCACTCAAGAGGTTAAATTTAATTTCTTTCCAATTCTACAAGTTATACTCCAAAAGCAAGAGTGTGTTTTAAAAGGGGCATTTTTATGAATCAGTTAGCCATACATATAATGAATGTCATGCAGCATGGCCGAAAAATTGTCATCTTTTTTCATAACATTTCGTTTCATCTTTTTTTTTTTCACCATGCTTCTGCGAGAAATCATGGAAGCACTTGCAGTGTTCACATGTTGTGTAACATCTTAAACTTCGAGATCCCCCAGTACAATTCAATTGTTTAAGTATTAATATCATCTGCACAATAACTCTATCACACCTACAAACAGTAATGATACTAATGGTACTGTAGATGGTACTAAAAGATATGATTAAAAGAACCAATTTTAGTGGCACTAGCAAAAATTTTAATACATAAATAAAAGCAGTATATCACATACTACATCATTACTCTTAATACAGTTAAAAGACACAATAAGTGTTTACACCAGATAACGTTAAAATTCATCACAAACAATCCACAGAACTTTCTGAATATTTCGCCATACTAAATTTTACATATTAATAGAAAAGAATTTTGAAATTTAAAAGCAGATTCATTAATAATATGTACCTGAAAAAGTAGAATCTTACCCTTATTAAAACAGTTATATTTATGGATCCCTCTTTACCCTCTCCTTGGCGACCACTAAGAGGAATCCACGTGTCAACAAATTTACCTTCAAAAGCTTCTTCAGGAATTTCAAAATCTGCATAAGCAATTCGTTCATCTGGAGTAATGGTGCGCTATCAACAAACATAGTACACACAAAAAAAATTAGAATCATCTTCAACCACCAGAATATTATAGTAGAGCCTAATTCCAATAACCCATGAATGTCTGCGATGTACACTTAAATTTGAATAAATACACAATTTTTAAATTTCAGAAATGTCAATGGCAATTTTTTTAAATGCATATGAAAATAAACTTTTTAACAGAAGTCTAACATATTTTGGTACTTTTCCGTTTCGCCGGCGCAAATCTCGCCAAGCAGACTTTATTGGCGACAACATACAGTATACACATAAAAAATGTTAACAAATGTTAGTTCTAAGAATTTTTAATTTTGAAGGCATAAACATTTTAATATTGTTTAAAATTTTAAGAAAACCAATAAGTAAAGACAATAAATTTGTAAAATAACATTAGTTTAAGAATTTAATATGCTTTCATAGTTCAACATCCTAATTCGCCGGTTTGTATCATGTGACCCCAAGTGATCTCATCTCACATAAACTACGCTACAAAAATCTAATTTACTCAGTAATTATAACATTAATTTCAAGTTAAATCTTAATTTGGAATACAAGTTTAAAGGCAAGAATTACTTCAGTTCGTATAAATGGCTTATGTAAAACTCTAGTGCTTTATTTCGCTAGTGCCTTCATTAGAATTGATGAATTTAACCCTTAACTTTGCTTTTTCTATATTTTCACCTTCGGGCAAGCGGTGTGATGATATCTTAATTAACTTAATTACCACGAGTGGCCTTAGGGCATAAAATTAAACTATCTGGTAAAAAATTCTATGTAATTATATGCCAGTATTGAAAGAAACAATCTGATAAGAAATGGCTGCGACTTGTTTTGAAAATGAGGTGTAAAAGGTTACCAGCGAGGATATTCCGTTTGGCATCAGTTGTACCATTATTGGTGACTTTATCGTCTGTGCCAGCAAAATGGAAAAGTACCCATATTTTAATTGAAACAGCAGATTTATTTTGTTATTGAAGTTACTAAGCCTTCCTGTGCCAGCAATCAGCATTTCCTGTTTAAAGTGCACGTTTTCACAAGGACTAAGAATCTCTGCAAATATTTTGCTTTAGATTAATCCCAACTTTTTGGATTTTCCCCCTGTCTTTTAATATTAATTTATACACCTCACAGCCAAGTAGTTTACATTCTATATAAGTAGAAATCAATTAAGATTAAATCAAGGAAAGAATTAGCTAAGGTCCAAGCCTTTTGGACGTATTTTCCACCTATCCAATCAAGGTAAGAATTATCTAAGAGATTATATTTAAGAAAATCCTTAATATAGAGTTTCTTAAACCGTGCATTTATTCATCAATTTATTTTTCCTTTTATTCAAAGTGAAAAATTTACTTCAACGTAATTTTATTTGTAGATATACAATTTTTTTTACATAAAATTCTAGGATGCATTTTTTACATAAAGATTCCATACTTTTTCAGAAAATTTCCATACTTTATCTAACCATTACACTTTTCTCTTGTAATGAGATTATTTTTGGATATAATTATACTTAAGAAATATAATAGCTTTGTCTTAAAAAACTAATTAAATAATCTTTTAAGGTATGAGCATTTTAAGTTAGTTGTTCATATGCAACAATTAGATTTAATGTAACAATTAAAATATAAAATAAATCACACTCAAAGATATGAAATAAAACTTGCAAAATTCACTAATCTGCATAACCTTTGGTCTTCAGGAATACAGATTATCGAAATTCTGTAGTCTAATTTAAAAAAACTACATTCAACAATCCAGTTTTGGCAAATTTACTGTTAATTATAATCATACATACCTACCTCATCAAAAACTTCTAGATGAAGACTTTTGATTCCTTGTGGAAGGTACCTAAACAGATTAAGTTAAGCATACATTACACACTTGGGAAATGTTACATAAGACAAAATAAAAACATTTCACAGATTTTTTTTTTCTGCCAGTTATTTAATGATACAGTCAAAAGTCTTTAATTCAGACTCGTCGGAACTTCGGCGATTTCGGATTATCGGTTTTTCCGGGTTATGGATCATCAGTTTAAATCTGGTAAGATGGCATGCAGAAATTATAAAATTAAAAATATGAAACCGTAATTTATGAAATAAAGACAAAAAAGGCTAAAGGGCATCAAAATTTACAAAAAGAGCTTACTATTTATTTGTTTACTTTATTAAACATTTCTTTCAATGCGCACATGCGTAAAGCATACATTACACATAGTCGAAATTAGAAAACTGCAACCAGAAAACTATTTGATGTGTATTCGTGATATTTATAATGACAAGGAAATTGATTTAAATTATATTGGAGTACATCGAGATGAAAACTACATTTGTGAGGAATTATAAGCCAATTAAAATAAAAACATCTGCCCTGAAGATGAGGATAGTGCTGACAGATCAACAGTTCATTGCGCATCGCGACGTTCCCTCCCCCCTTCCGCTGTTCCTGTAATTGCTGTGCCGAGAATACCGACTAACTTATCAATTTCGAAATTTTTAGATTTTCACTAACTTCTCTGTCATTTTCTTCATGCCTTTTATCCATTTTTTGCAGCAAGTTCCCACATTTTGTTTCATGGACATCGGAATATGCTTTCACTTTGTAGATCCTTTCGGCAGCTCCAGAATCGGAAACTCTTTCTGACATAATCGAAAGTTCAAGCGTACTTTTTATAAAATTGCTCTAACAGTCTGCAAAAAATAATAAGCCGGATCCAATTCGAAGATTAAGGAACAACGCAATCTGCAACATTAACTGAAATAGATAATTATTTTAGCTTAGCTTATACCAGAGGTCGGCAACCTATGACCCGTGGGTCACCGAGTGACCCATTTGGTAATTTCAAGTGACCCACTTTAGTTCTGAAAATAAAGTATAAGATATACAAACATTTTTTTCTTTTTCCCAAAAAATTTTTGTCGCACAGTTATGAACGTACCAAATTTGAATCCAGTATAACACATAAAAATATCAGTTAAAGCCCCCCGACTTATTTGAAACTGATATAAAAACTAAAAAATGTCATTTCTTTCCCTTGTTAAAAAGGGAACATGAAAAAGAAAATATCGATGAACACAATCTAAATATGTTCGAAACTTGGATTTCGGTCATTAAAAGTGAATATGAAAGTTATATCATGTCTTAAAACATGGAGAAATGTTGACATTTATAATAAAGCCCGATGAAATAGAAGAAAACATATATACAAATTTGCAGTATTTTGAATATCTAAGAACTGACAATTTTAGTTTAGAAATGATTGATTTTAAAAGTTCAACATTAGGGACTGATAAATTCAAGAAAAATTCAGAAATTGTGAACGATTTGGAAACTACAGAAGATAATCATTTTCTCATGATGTCAACGTATGTTGGGCATCACTTCCTACGAGGATTTTAGTCATTAAAAATAATTGCCTTTGAAATTTTGTCCACATTCGGGTCCACTTATAAATTTGAGCAAATATTTTCACAAATAAAATTTATTTTAAGCAAAAACAGGAGCAGGTTAACTATTGAAATTTCGGATGCTTGTGTTCGACTTAAAACGACTAACTATAAACCAGACTTGACTAAATTGACATCACAATTCAACATCAGGGGAGCCATTGATATCGTAGAGAAGTTATAAATAAGTTTATTCAACTATGTTTGTAATTATTTTCTTAATAAAATATATCTTATTATTTACTAAAATGCTGTTTTAATACGAAAATATCTCTGACCCAAACGTCTCTTTAATACTCGCATTTTGGTTGATTTTGACCCACGGCCAAAAAAGGTTGCTGACTCCTGGCTTATACCGTCCGTTATACATTAAACGCGCATGCGTAAACATATTATGCGCATGCGTTAACGCATTTTGCATTGACGCATGCGCAGAAAGTTTGTAGTTTCGAGGTCCGGATTATAGATCATTGCGGATTAACGACTTTTGACTGTATAACATATTTTTATATGTCCATAAAAAGATGAATTTAGTTACAAAATGAGAGTATCTTTTGCAGAAATCTTCTGCCAGAATGTGAGAAAAGATCTGAAAAGCATTAATTCCTAAACAGCAGTTACAAGAAACATGCAAAGAGAAGATATTCTACTAGACAAATATAACATTTTATTTTTCAAAATTTATTTGAAAAAAATAAACAGCTAATATTTAAAATACAAAAAGGTCTTGAAAGTTTTCTTCACATTTCACACAGGATTCCATAACGAAAATAATTTTAATACTAGCATTTTATATTAAGAAACCTTAAAATTATATTTAATAAAATTTGATTTATACACTTGATTTAATATAAAATATACTAGTTAAAAATATTTTGATTTAATATATTTTTAACTAGTAATTCACTAGTTAAAAATATTTTCAAAGTTTGTTGACAAAGAAAAAGAAACTTTCATTATTACAGCAAAATTTAAAAAAAAAAAAAAAAAATTACACAGATAATACATCACTGGCATTCACATAAGGCTTCTCTTTGCAGCTTATAACAAGAACAGTTAAACTAATGAAGTGTGACTATAAACTTATATAAACTTACAAATTGTTACATGACAATGGAAAGCTGACCAGAACAAGAAATAGTAATATCAGTCTCATAACTGTATCGCAGACTTGTCTAACCATTGTAAAATTGTTGATTTATAATCTGCAATTTTAAAATAAATCCTGCAGATTTTAGTACTCAGGAAACTTTTTCATTCAGATAATTTTCATGGAAGAATTAAAACTTGATATACAAATTTCTGCCCTTTCCTTTACTGTGCCCCACAAATCTTGTCAATATGAAAATTTCATTCCCTTTCAATCTTTGTAAATGAGAACTTAACATATTTACTTCTGTATAAGCATTCTTGCATATAAGTTGAGGTTTGATTTTTACACTTTTTTTTTAATCTAACAGCAGGCACTTGCCTATTCGACAATAGCCAGAAGTGGTGATCATTTTATTGCAGAGGCACCTAACAGGCGCCCACCACTGCCTCCCAAGAAGGGATGCACAGTTACAACCATGCCTTCTCCGGGATTCGAACCCAAGCTTTTTGGTACTGCAGTCGGCTTGACCACTAGACTATCTGTGCGGCCGGGAGTTTTTCTAATGTCAAATGCACACATCAAATGTGTAAAACTAGCATACTTAAACTGTCTAGGTGACTATACACATGCCAACATGTGATAATAGCCAAACTACACTCTATCCAACACAATATCTTCTAATATAATATCTACAGCTGTCAATTCTAATAGAATATCTACAGCTGTCTGTCACCCTAAATAAAATTTGTTTTACATGCATTGTTCAAGTCCGATTTGAAAATGTAATAAAATCATTTAAAAAAATATGGAACTTCTGTTGCAATAGATTGCACAGAAAAAGATACATTATGGGTGAATGATGATGACAGGTTATGAGAATATGAACTGAATCATTGGGATCCCTATGATTGAAATGGTAAATAGTGAGGATGAGGTTTCAATATACAAAGATGATGACTAAATATCATAAAATTTCAAATAATATTTATCTTTTGTTTGATTTCTGAAATAAAGTTTATTTTTCATTTGTTTAATAACATAAGATTTATATTTAATTTGTTTTATAACATAAAGTTTATTTATAACCAGTTTACCATTTATGTAGTGTAGCATTTTGTTTTCAAAAAATTACATTGATAGTTTTAGTAAAAACAGTTAGGTAAACTAATGACCTACATCTAAACATAAAAAATAATTTTTAAAAAAATCTAAGTAATCTATTTTTGAATGTATATATAACTCAAGATTTGATTTTGTGATTGATTTTTCAGGTTTATGCTGTGGATATTAGCAAAGGATGTGCTATGAATATTAGCAGCGGATATGCTATGGATGGTAGCAATGGATTATATTGTAGCGTGCATATGGGTTCATTATGAATTAAATGCAGAAGTCTGATGAAAAGTGAAAAAAATTTATTATTATCACAACAAATAAAACAAAATGCTTAAAGTTCCTCAGATATTCACTCAATATCTCACAGTAGTTATCTTTTAAACTACTAAAAACATTCAACAGAACTTAATTTAAAATAGAGAAACGTAGAGAAAGCTAATCTGATTTCACCGCGAATTTGCTACATTAAACAATAGCAGTTTTTTAAAACAACTGCTAAACAACTAAGCTGAGAGGGTCCTTTCTCTGGCTTTTATAAGCTTTTTAATCAGCATGAGCATAGTCTGGTATTTTCTTGATTTTTCCCGAAAAGCAAAAGTGTACAATTACAAGTTCCTCCTATATTTTTCTGCATGCTCCTATATTTTTATTTTTTCCGGCGTACCTTTCTCTTCAAATAAGTTGCGTGCAGCAATGCACAAGGAAATGAAATAATTTAATAACAATTCTGTTTAAAATAGCAAACTAAATAAATCAATACAAAAACCATAACAATATAATATCCATAGCAATACTATGGTTATTATTTATATTCAATACCTATTTGGATGAGTGGGTTATTTCACTGACAGTTCAAAAGATAAAAAATAAGCTAAATGTGCTATAAGCACTTTTTGTGATCTATTTTGCTACGACATTCATTTGAATACATATACTACTGCCTTTGAGCATAAAAACAAGACAGTTTGAGTTTGCTTGCTTCGACGGAGGAGTAAAATGAACTTACTCTTCTGTGATCTAATAATAATCCCTCGGCAACTCTATAAGCCTTAGTCCTACTTGCTTTCAAGAATGCAGATAATCCTAGATCAGCTATTTCATAGCCAAGGGCAAAATATATTTCTGCCAATTTTTTCCTATTATGACACCCTAGATAACAAGATAACGAATGTGCTCACTAATAAAGGGATAACAATAACAGAAATATTCTGCAGTAAGATCATTCACATAAAATCAGTGACCTGTATTAATCACAAAGAAATTAAAGACATTTATGGATCTAATTTTATAATTTTTACTTTTAAATATCCGCAAATGGCTGCACTCTTACCCTCAACCTGGTATCTATCCAGAGAATACTTTGTAACTCTTGTTAGAATTTCAGATCCTAACTCCTGAACTGCTCTTGGAATACTGGCTAGAAGCTGTTGTATGATTTATGGCTCGTTTGCATAAGTCTTTCCTTGTAAGCAGTCAAAAAAAAAAATCTGCAGTCGTTAAATCTGTTGATCCCAATGGCCAATTAAAATTAACAAATTTGTAAATCATGACTGCCAAAAATATATCTCAAGAAAAGGATTATTTGTCACTGAAAATGCAGAAAAAGCCTGGTAAATTGCTGAAGCAGTATTGGCCATTACAAACCTTAAAAAAGTTGTGTACTCATTTTGTCATCATAATAATGTGTTGATTTTCATAGTAAAATTGAATGACTAGTGATAAACATGTCCATAATAAAATTTTTAAGTGTTAACTTTACATTTTTAGGAAAAAAATAATATACAAGGAAAAAATATTTAGTATTTAATTTATAACACCAGTTATACCAACATCCTATACTATTGTTCAACAGTCAAACAGACTAATATCAAAACTGCTTTAAGAATGGGAATGGCAACATTATAGAACATACAAATTACAACATCACCTTAAATAGTTCCCTATGCCCTCTCTGCTCAAGGAAATAAATAAGGATTTCAACCATCTTTTATTCTGCTTTGCTTATTGGCTAGATCTATTTTTTATTGTTAATGTGAAGCAAGAAACCCCAAAATATGCTCCATTAGAGTAGAGAGAAGGGTTGCCCCTTGTATTATCGCGAAGTTGTTGCTTCATTTATCGCCAAGTTGTTGTTTCATTTATGGTAGCCTGAGTAGTTGAATGTTATGGAAACCCTATTATGACGCATCCGGTTGCATGATTGTGGTAAATTTGTAAGGGCTTGTGGTGTGTGTGTGTTGATTAGGAAGCATATTGCTTGTTTTGTGGTTTAGACAGAAAAATGGCTGAATGTTGTAAGATCCCGATTTGGAAAGAAAGGGGAAAACCGCGTTACTTGACTGGTGTGTAAATGAAGGTTTACTTAGTAGCCATTATTAGATGTGCTGTTTGTAGGAAGGAAATACGTATGGTCGAACATCAGAAATGCATACGGTCAAATGTCGCTACAGAGGATATTCTTTACTCTTATTTTGTGAATTTATGTGCCGACGCCAGTATACAGATTCTAGTTCAGATAATTTTAAGAAGTTATTAAGGAATTTTGTTTGACTGAAGACGTGTTAATTCGTAAATAAGTTAAGTGGATATTTCCTTTGTATAATGCAAAGATGAATTTCCTTTTTTATGTTATTTCATTGTTTCATTTAAAATGTAGTTTATTGAGATTATATATTTTTTTTGCTGGCTGCTCCTTTGACTTTTTAAGTGAATATAGTTTGATGTGTAAATGGACACAGGGAGTGCACAAAGCCTAGTTTGCACAATTCTCCGATATTTGTTTTAAGTGAAAATAGTCGATGTGTACATGGATAAAGTCAAAGGAGTGAGGCAATTCTAGGATTTTTTTTCAAGTGAAAATAAGTCGATGTGTACATGGACACCGAGTTTGTGCAATTCTTTGTGTTGTTATTTTGGTTTTGTGTAGCAGCGACACAAGTCAAAATAACAAGTCAAAGAATTGCACAAACTCGGTATCCATGTACGGCTAAAAATCACAAAGTTTCGCCAAGGAGTACTCGTAAACATACTTTTACCAATCCGCTCTCCTTTGAGTATGTAAATGTGATTTCAATCTTTGTTGTATTTTACTTGAACCTTTTCTAGTCCAAGAAAACTGTACTGTTTCCAGCCAAAGCTACTACACTAGAAACTAGAGAATAAATTAATAAAAATATGGCTTCTTAACGATGTCCCTAGCTTGAATAAATATGATGATAGATGAATTTAATAACTTTAAATTGGCTTTAGCTGGTTTTCATAGAAAATATATATAGAAATTCTATAGAAACCTGTGAAAGAAGCTTTCCATCACAAACAAAACTAACCTGTCAAGAATATTTCCTATAACCTTTATTCTGTTAAAAATATTTTTACTTTTTTAAGAAGGAGGTCTTACTTTATCTTTTGTCAAAATGCATGAAAGTTTTCAATAAAACAAACACGAAGCTAAAACTGAAGTTTGAATAATCAAAACTAAATTAATAAATAAAATGATGCAAATTTATTGTACATGAGTCAATATAAAATGCCGGCTATTACTATAAGTAAATGTTGATAGTTGGACAGATAATTATGGCAAAATATTGAGGGAAGCTACTTAAAAGACATGTCTTTATGAAGAAATCTAACAAGAACTTTTAGAACAGCTTCATACTGCCCCCTTCTATACTACAGTACAAAGTCCGGACATCTATTATCCGGAATGATCTATAATCCGGACCTCAAAGCCACAAACTTACGCATGCGCATTTAATGTGTGCATCTGCTATGCATGCACGTAAAGCATTTACCCATGCGCACTTCTGATAGTAAAGTGACAGAGATATTGAAAACGAAAAAATTTCGATTGACAAGTTAGTCGGTATTCTCGACACAGCAATTACAGGACTTGAATAATGGAACTAGACAGTGGAACTTGAATAGTGTAACTGAACAAGAAATTATGTCTGTTTATAGAATTAAAGAGAAAGTATTAGCACAAAAAACGAAGCAACTTAAACAACTTACATTGAAAGAAATGTTTAATAAAGTAAACAAATAATATTAGCTTTTTTTTTTTTTTTTTTTTTTTTTGTAAATTTTGATACCCTTTAGATCATAATTGTCACTTTATTTCATAAATTACGGTTTCATATTTTTAATTGTATAATTTCTGCATGCCATCTTACCAGATTTAAATTGATGATCTATAATCCAGAAAAATCCCTAATGCGGAATTGCCAAAGTCCAACGAGTCCAGATTACGGACTTTGTACTGTACAGTCAAAAGTCGTTAATTCGGACACCCGTAATCCGGAATGATCTATAATCCGGACCTCAAAGCTAAAATCTTTCTGCGCAAGCGCCGCATTGACGCATGCGCATAGGCGTTTTACTCGTGCGCGCAAGACCTTTACGACTGCGCATATGCATCTGCGCAAGCAGAATACGTTTTCGCATGCGCGTTTAATGTATAACGGACGGTAAAGCTAAATTATCTAATTATCTATTTCAGTTAATGTTGCAGATTGCGTTGTTCCTTAATCTTCGAATTGGATCCGGCTTATTATTTTTTTGCAGACTGTTAAGAGCAATTTTATAAAAGTAAGCTTGAACTTTCGATTATGTCAAATAGAATTTCCGATGCTGGAGCTCCCAAAGGATCTACAAACGAAAGCATGTTTCGATGTCCATCAAACAAAAAGTGGAATTGCTGCAAAAAATGGATAAAGGCATATCCTTTGTTTCTCTAACCATTCGGAAATCTGTTTATCAATTTCACGCTGCTCTGCGGGGGGGGGGGGGGCGCAATGAACTGGAAGTTGATCTGTCAGCACTATCCTTATCTTCAGGGCAGATGTTTTTATTTTATTCGGCTTATAATTCCTTACTAAATGTAGTATTTCATCTCGATGTACTCCGTCTTTGATATGATTTAAATCAAATTCCTCGTCATTATAAATATCACGAATACACATCAAATAGTTTTCTGGTTGCAATTTTCTAATTTCGACTATGTGTAATGTATGCTTTACGCATGCGCGCGTTGAAAGAAATGTTTAATAAAGTAAACAAATAAATATTAAGCTTTTTTTTGTAAATTTTGATACCCTTTAGATCATAATTGCTCTTTATTTCATAAATTACGGTTTCATATTTTTAATTTTATAATTTCTGCATGCCATCTTACCAGATTTAAACTGATGATCTATAATCCGGAAAAATCAATAATCCGGAATCGCCGAAGTCCCGACGAGTCCGGATTAAAGACTTTTGACTGTACTATGTTGTAAAACATGAAAATAACTTGCCACCATCAAGAAACAAACACTGGAAGAAACTGTACCTTAAGCCACTTCATCACTGGTGGAATTAAACATTTTCAAAACAAAACATTACGTTGAAAACACAAAATTCACTAGAAATAAAGAACTCTGTATATGAAATTAAAATTATAATAATTTGGATACAACTGCTAACTGTTTTGAGATATTTGTTGTTTATATAAAGTAACATAGAAGAACTACTTACGAGTGTATAGTTTTATTCCAATTAGGGAATTTGCCAGCCCTAACGTGTGAATGTGTTTCGTATACAGTATGGCCAATCCTGACTCTTACATATGGATCCATTTTAGTTATACTGTAGTTTCTTGCCAACTGAGCCTATGCATAAATGTACACGACTATGAGATATATTTTTTAAATGCAATGGAAAAATATCAATAGATTATCAAGTATACTCATTAGATACAGAACATACTTATTAATTAAAAATGCAATATTAAAACTGTAATAATAAATGTAATATTACAATTAAAATATAATAATAAATAGTAGTAATAAAAATATTTTATTTATATTGTTCAACATCAAATATTTCTTTATTTTTCTTTCATTTATCTTTAATGAATTGGAGGGGGAGGGGACCTGACACAACTTTCTTGCACAGCCTATTAAATTATATGCATTTTTTGTGCACTTTATTTAAACTTATTTCCTTGCATTATTCCAACTTGAATTACTGATCCCTGAAAGCAAATTAAAAATGACATCAAAAATTGCAAATTTTGAAATTAATTATCCCAGTCAATTTCAGTCATATGAGAGCCAAACTTCTTATAATTTTATTTTTGGTTAATCTTTGGATTATGGTAACTGAACGATTTTGGGGCGAAAATTTGGCGACCAACCCTGCTACAGCAACCTGCTAGTTTTTTTGGGACGCCATTTTGTTTTCACGAAGTAAAGGCATTTTTTTTTTTTTTTTTTAACTCAACATTTTTTTTCAACATTCTGCTAGCTGAATTACGCTTATGCTAGAACTTTTATGGAACAAAAGTGCTTAATGATGACAAAGATTAGGTGCGAAAAGTTAAAGGAAAATCTTAAGATATCACACTGTCAAAATTCAAATGATAAAAGAATTGATTTTTCAAAAAATACTATTTTCATAGTAGAAAAAAAACGGAATTCACATATATTTTAATCTGGTAGATAAAATAGATATCAATTATATGAAATAATTTTTGATTTCCAGTTTCTAACAGGTGAAAAATGAATGTTGTTTGATCTGGGCTAGGCTAGGTTACAGTTTCTAACAGGTGAAAAATGAATGTTGTTTGATCTGGGCTAGGCTAGGTTATTTGGCTATGGCAAAGCCACTAAAGTTATCTAGTTTTTGTTTGCAGAAAATAGCTGACAGAAAAAGAAAAAATATATCAGCCCTTTTCATTGTATATGAAGCAAAACTTATGAAGTTAAAGAAAGCAGTATTTGAAAAAAAAAATTCTACTCACTTGAACAATACATAAAGTAATCTGTGCTACAGAATTATAGCGTGTAAAATTTTGATGATCAATTGTCTGAGAAGGTCTACTAGCATTAGAACACTGGGAAGTTCCTTGGTTTGAAGAACCAACACGCAGGAAATCATCAGGAAGATTTCCTACCATCACCTGAGTTTAAAAAATGATATGAATGAACCCCAAAGCATAAAATCACAATACTCGCAAATGCATATATTACAAAATTTCATTTGTTTATATAACAAAGAAGAGTTAAAGCTTGTCCCACTAAACCAAGCACTCAAGGCAAGGGAAAAAAAAAATGCAAAACCATTTCGCCAAAAAAGTTTAGACAAAAACTGTACCTGAGAAAAAACACAGTTGCTTTGCCAAATTCATACTTTTGGTACATAGAAAATAAGAACATTTAGAATTAACCTTATCACTATTAAAAAAAAAACATAGCATCAACACAAAAAAGAAGAGAATAAAATTTACAATTAAAAATAATAACAATAAGATATAAAAAACAAAAAATCTGAAAGGGCCTCAGATTTTAAGGATCAGCAATAAGGGCTCATTTAAAGTTTAATTCAGTAGAAATGTCCCAGGCGAAACATTTTATAGGATATTAGATGAATATGCATTTAATTTAACATGGTAATGTAATATATCTTCTGCATACTTAAAAAGTCAAAAATATGTTATTCTACGAGAATATTTAACATTTTTAATTATATATGAATTAAATGCATTTTTTCCGTCATTATATTAAAAAGTAAAAAAAAAAATAATAATAATATTCTTTAAGAAATGCACTTATTGCTTAAGATCAATCATTTAGTTTGTTAATTAATAACAGAAAGATCAGCCGTTTAGTTTGTTAATTAATAACAGAAATATCAGTCCTTTAGTTTGTTAGTTAATAACAGAAAGATCGTGTTTTCACACTGATAGTACTTTGGGGCTAAATTACATAACATAAATAAGCACAAAATTTCAAGACACATTCTACAAGACTTTGTACATCAAAATAAAGTTAAGAGTTAATGTCCTTCATCATAACAGAAAACTCCTAAAAGCAAGTATACTAATAACAAATGCACATCAAACCTTAGTTATAAAAGTTCCGACTTTTTTTACGTCTCAGTCATCAATAAACAAAGCTTCACAATAAATGAAAAATTGAATTTTTGCGAAAAGGTGATGATTTGCGACCTATGATTTTGGATACGGCATTATTTTCACATACCCACTGCAATAATACACTTATTGAAAGCAACTTGAATATATACTGTGCACTCGAATGATAATAAAATGAATACAAATTAAGCAAAAAATAAATTTATTACAATGTAAATAGTGAATTGATAACAACGCAGGAAACACTAAAATAAATACACATATAATGTTAATAACTAAAGTACAGCCGCAAAAAACAACCATCAGCGCTTTGACTTCTTAAATAACCAAATCAGTTTTAATATGGTAAGACAGCACTGTTATTGCAGAAATTAGGACATTAAATTCATTGCAGCTACTTAAAATACTTATATTTTTAAATTAGGCACACATTCGTAATAAAAACTAACTTTAGAGGATTAGTTTGTATGGATATGCAGCCCATCTGGGTTGTCAAAGGGAATTTAAACTCTGAAATTATGGAAAACAAATATTTATTATATTCAGACGCATGCTTTAGAAAGTGTGTAACAGTAAAACTCACGTCTTTCCTCCTATCCACATATTTTGCCGTGGCCATGATGACAATATTTCGAAGTCTTATATCTTAAACAAATATGAAAACATTACTTCGGGAAATTGCGTCTAAACCGCCGACTGCACAACCAATCACATCAGTCTTAACAGACGTCAGTTATTATTAATTATAAACACAACGAATTTGTCCTGCGTCCAAATATGTACCGTTTATCGATTATCACGTTATAAAAATAAAATGACGAATGAAGGTATCAAACAAAAGTAAGTCGGCAAAAAACAAATTCTTTAAATTTAAGTGAATAATTTCTATTACTTATAGTAGTGGTTATACCAAGTCGAAGCAAGCCGCAAGCCTTTACACAGGCCAATCACGGCCCGTGCGACCAGCAAGCTAGGATTTGTGGATAACTAGGATTTGAGCAAGGTCAACACCGACTCTACTTCAAGCCTAAGCGCGCGGTTCGAAAATTCGTGAGCAGATTCTGGATAATAAACCGGAACGCATGCAGTGGTTTGCCATGATGGCTGCTAACAGCGACGGACGTACGAGCTCTGAGCTCCGTAATGTCAAAGCGAATAGTATCCTAAATACGGCGCCGCCAGCGGGCAATCAACCTTCTTCTCCACCACCTTTGATGATTCAAACTGAAATGGATATATCTACAACTACTCCACCTGCCTCTCCTTCAGCGCTAGAGCTATCCAAGAGCGCGATCCAGATTTACTCTCTAAAGAATCGGCACACAGACCTCATTTTCGACATCCAGCGATTACAGCGAACGGACACTCCGAATAAGGACCAGATGATCAAACAGTTACAGGATGAGGGTGAGAAAGTTTTATTTTCCCTACATACCCTATGTTCTAAACTCGGCATAAATTTATTCACCCTCCCTGCCACTGAAGAGGAATTCTTCAAAGAATGTAAAAAGACCTCTAAAACCCCTGATTCGGACTCCAACACTCAAAATTCTAACCCTAAAATTCAAAATACAAATCCACCCTCATCCTCAGCCAATCAAAATCCTCCAAAAGAAAATCCTAAAACTGACTCTAAAAAACGAACCAGACCAACTGATAACGAAGGATTTGTAGTTCCTCCAAAACATTTAATTGCCAAAAAAACACTTCCCAACACTAATAGTAATGAAACCATCACAACATCCAATTCTTTCACAAACATAAACTCTGATAACACTGAACACTCGACGCAGCAGCCGGCTGTCACTCAAACACCAAAAATTCAAGCACCACCTCCAATTTTCATAAAACCGCGAGCTGATTGGTTCTTTCTCCTCAATCAGCTTCGCCGACACGCACCAACTGTTCTTTCCAAACAAAACGTTGATTTTCTAAAACTCACAACTACTAACGAAACAGACTATAGAACAGTTGTTAGATTCCTCACAGACAATAATATTGAATTCAATCTCACACACTCAAATCAGATAGACCACTTAAAGTGGTAATTAGGGGATTACCCTCAAATACACCGCTCAACGTTGTGCAGACTGCGGTTGAAGTGCTTGGCTTCAAAATTCCACAAGATCTCTCAACTTAAGAAATGGAAGACAAAAATGCCAATGCCTCTCTTTTATCTACAAATCTTCAACAGCCTCAAAGCTGAAGAAATCTATTCCATAACTGAAGCTCCTTGGAACTGAGGTATCCATGGAACACTTCAAAGGTCAGAAAGGTCCCTCCCAATGCTGGCGTTGTCAGGGATTCTTTCATTCATCTGAAGTTGCACTGCACATTACCAAGACGATGCGTCAGATGCGCTGGGCCGCATCAAGCCAAAGAATGTACTAAACCATTTGAAGAACCGAACAAATGTGCAAATTGTTCGGGAAACCATGCTGCTAACTGGCGTTCCTGCCCGAAGTTCCCAGGCTCCAAAAACAGACAACCTCCAAGGCCAAGCACCAAACCCAGTCAGACCGTTGACAACACTAACAAATTTAACCTACAACATAATACATTTCCAGTTCTGCCGGCTGCACACACTCCCAGTGCAAATAATACTCGCCCTGGAGTATCATACTCTGCTGCCCTTACGGGTATGCAACAAGCTGCACCCCAAATTCTTCCAAATTTATCGGTCCCCTTAGGAGCTAATTCGACTCTAAATTGCACCGAAATCCTTTTGGCAATTATTCCAAATTCTCAAACCAACCTGGTATTGACCAGAGCAGATTCTTTGGCATTCAAAAACGCCTTACCGCAGCTCAGAGTGGCTCCATCTGGTGCTGACGCGGCTTACTATATCTTTGAGAGTTATATTACTCTCCAATTCTCTGATATCCCCAGTCAGTAAAATTCAATACTTTGAAAGGATTGAAAAACTTAAAACTATGCACCTGGAATGCAAATGGCATTCTATCCAAATTCCATGAGTTTCGAGACTATGTGGAAGAGAAAGATTTTGACATTATTTTTGTCCAAGAGACCAAACTCCAGCCAGGGAGAGCTCCCAAGCTTGCAAATTATGCATTATATAAAAATGACAGACAAGCTTCTAATACTCGTGATGTTTATCATGGTGGCACATGTGTCTATATTAAAAATTCAATACCACACAAAAGAATTGACACTCCGAGTATGAGTAAACTCGAGGCAACAATCATCGAAATTTTCATTCAAAATTCGCCCTCCCTTGTTAATGATCTCTGCCTATCTTCCACCAGGTGGAAATTTACCTGTGGTTGATTTTAACAAATTGCTCACCTTTTCCAACAATCTAATCATAGCTGGTGATTTAAATTGTCACCACCAGCATTGGCGTTGTCATAGATCAAACCCTGCTGGTCGTGGCCTTCTAAAATGGGCTCAGTGCGCCCAAATTAAAGTTATTGCGCCGGATTCCCCTACTAGATATGGTTCACGGGGTGCCCCTTCATTCATCGATTTGGCACTCTTTCGAAAACATCCCTTTTGGATATCACGTGACTGTGGAAAACTGTTTATCCTCAGATCACAACCCCGTAATCATAGACCTTAAATTGTACTATCTTTAATCAAAATTCTCCGGCACTCGTCTCTACAAACTGGGACAATTTTAGTTTCAAACTTAAAAGTAAAAGTTTGCCCTCCCTTGAAATTAAATCCAGCCATGATATAGACTCGGCAGTTGATCACTTAACGACCATTTTAACAGATACTTATAAGGAAGTATCAAAACCCACCCTCAGACCCAATTTTCGTAAATTACCTCAAGAAATTAAACTCAAAATTAAAGAAAAGAATAAAGTACGGAGACTTTGGCAAAGAAATAGAAATAGAAATCCTGGTTTAAAAAATTCAACTCCGTGCTCTCCAAAATGAGATCAAGGCATCATGTGACCATTTCTTCCAATCACAATACACGAATTACATTCAGTCCCTAACGACCAATGATAACAGTCTTTGGCGCGCATCAGCCCGCCTACGCAAACACAAATCTAACATTCCGTCCTTAGCTACGGACGCAGTGGTGGCTCACACAGACGCTGAGAAATCCGAATTAATTGCGGATTCTCTTCAAACTCAATTTACACCACATAATGAAGGAATTTTTGCGAACAGCGCAAGTTCTTTCCCACAGGATGTTGAACGTTTCCTCTCCTCGCCTTTTGCGAGAGAAATACAATATACATCCATGAGCGAGGTAAGTGAATACATTACCAAGCTCAAACCCAAAAAAGCCCCTGGTATGGACTCTATTTCTAATCGTATGATTAAAATTTACCCACCCATTATCTATTTTTCTTAGTAATGCTTATAAATTTTATGATACAGCATTGCTATTTTCCTCAAAGCTGGAAACAAGCACTTATTGTGCCTATTCCAAAACCAGGCCAAAGCCTTTCTAACCCTCAAAATTATAGACCTATCAGCCTCCTATCCTCGTTATCTAAGATATACGAGTTTGTGTTACTTAAACGCCTGAATGATTTTCTCCGAAATCACAACGTTCTGATTGATGAACAATTTGGATTTCGAGCAAAACACTGCACCACGCACCAGCTGCTGAGGACAGTGGAGTTCATTCACGAAGGGTTTCGTAACAAAATGCTTACTGGCGCTTTTTTCTTGACATAGCCAAAGCATTTGATAGGACTTGGCATATAGGAATTATTATCAAGCTCATACGACTTGACGTTTCGGCCCATTTAATTCATATAATTAATTCGTACCTCACTAATAGATCTTTTTCTGTACGAGTTAATTCTATCATTTCGACACCCCGTCCTATACTAAGCGGCGTCCCCCAAGGGTCACTTTTAGGCCCAATTTTGTTCAACATTTTCATAAATGACATACCAAAATCACCTAGTATCACTCTTGCACTTTATGCAGATGATACGGCCATCCTAGCTCAACACCCAGCCTGGCTCATCACTTGGAAAATAAAAATTAATGCGTGCTGTATGATATTCAAACGTAGCCCCCTCCCCCTTCCTGTGTCAATTCTTGTGCTCTTCCCACCGTCGCCCCGTACCTCCTTGTCTTCCTTCTTTGAGCGATTTCCCCTGGTCACCCCTTTCCAGTCCCCTCGGCGTTGTCCGTGATTCTCCAACTTCCTTGGCCGCCTTACCTGCCTGTCTCCCCCCCGCACCGTGCCCCGGCCCCTTTCCCCCCCCTTTAGTGACCCGACCATCTGTCAGTCGGACCATAATCTTCCTCTCCTTCCTATTCCGCCCTCTTTCGATTGTCCCCTTCGCGGTTGCTGCCTCGTCCCCCATTCCTCTCCCGACAGTCCAAACCGCGTGATGCCCAGAGTGTCGCTCTACCCTCCTTCTCCCCCCCTCGTCCCCCCCTTCCTCCGTTGCTCCGCGCCTTGCGGAGAACTCTTTCAGCGAGCCCCGAGGTGCACGCGTTATACTCCCACTTCAGACAAGTTTCTTTCTGTTCGCCTTGTCACAGCTCCCGTGGATTGAGGACCTGCCTAGCATTTCGCGCGTCCCCTTCATTTTTGTTGCCACGACTCCTACACATGCCACCCCCGCATCGTTCTCGCTCGCCATGTGTGTGTAATGTCGTTTTCCATCGAGTACCTTAATAGCCAGTGCTTTAAAACCGCTTTTTCACGTGTTCATTTTATTTATTTGCTGACTTCGTGCCACTGGCCCTGTTTGTCTTAGCGATTGTCGCATTTTTCTTGTGCGCCTTTGTATGTTGAGGGGTGCAATGGTTTTCTACCACCCCCCCGTGTTCAAACATCCACAGCCTCATAATGCCAGTTTTAGTTAGGCGAA